GACAATGATTTATAAAACACATTCATGAATCAGAGCTCCTACTGGATCAACCCTCAAGATAATTATTTATCTACTTCTTTCTTAAGAAGGAATGGATTCCATCTCTTGTAATAACATTCCCGGCTGTCTACTTCATCATGTCTCCAAAATACAAGGAATAGGATTCAGGGTCTCGGAATCAGTACCGAGTAAATCAAAAGACACAAATCCATAAATAGGAGTTTGTTAAGAACTCAAGATTAAGATCATTCTATATATGACCATCGGTAGACTCAATTAGAATATCTATACTTAACAAAAATTATTAGAAATTCATATTGTGTCTGTGACCTTGTTTCACATAATCTCATTATGCGAAATACACCCATTCAATATCTCGCCATATCCACAGTGCGGATAATACCGTTCCATTCTAAATGGGAATTATATGTATTAATAATGTTTTAATTAAAGATTCTGAACTTTAATTAAATTCATTATGAACATTGATTTTTGATTATTATCCTTAAACATTATCCTCTCATATATAACACTTATATACAATGTTTAAGGTTACATAAATAACCATGGAATTTTCATTGATATTCATAAAATATTCATAAATATATGCACATAAAATAATGAATAAACTCTTTTATTAAATAAACAATAAATATCCTATTACATCTCATGCTTCTAGGACACCATTCCCAACAATAGCCACTACATACGAATTAATCCTCCATAAACGGTTCATAATTAATGCTAGGTATTTTCCGTTAACCTCTTTAATTATATCTTTCTCCATAAGTACCATTGATCCTCTAATGAATAATATATTTTATGATCCAATCATAAAATTGAGCGCTCTTATTATTCAAGTCCCGAATCAACACTTATGGGAACCGTCCATCTATTTCATTATGAAGGAATGGATCTCATCTTGTAAATTAACATTCCCGGCTATTTATTTTACTATGCTCCCAATATACCAAGACTTTGACACTATTCACATGTGTCATTACTCAATATGTCAAAGAACATAATATCATAAATAGGAGTTTATTAATTACTCAGAATTAAGATTAATACATATATGACCATCATTGATTAACATTGAATACTTTATTTAATAACGGAATTTATTTGAGATTCATAATTAATCACATTCTGGTCTTATGTAATCATATTACATAAAATGCTTTCATTCCAATAATCTCATTATTAACAATCTAGGATAAGATTGTTTCATTCAGAATGTAATAAACCGCATTAGTAATTTTAAATTAAAGATCCCAACTTTAATTTATAATTACGGACAAGTTTAGATTATTTTATTTCAAACATTATCCTCTGCATATAACAATTATATACAATGTTTAAAGTTACATCAAAAAATAATCTAGGGATTTTGATATTTATAAAACATCACATGTATGCAAAATAATATTGAAAAAATTCCTCATTTCATTGATAATCAGCAAAATATTTACATCTTATTTGATTTATGGGCATATATCCCAACAATCTCCCATTTGCCCTAAAGCAAATGAGGCATGTCTCTAAGTCCCATATTTTTAAGATGTCTCTCAAAACTCCCAGCTGGTAATGTTTTGGTAAACAGATCAGCTATGTTGTTCGCGGATGTGGTCTTTTCAACTGAAACATCTCCTCTAGAAACAATCTCTCTAACCAGGTGGAATTTTCGCTCTATATGCTTTCCTTTGCGGTGGTTCCTAGGCTACTTGGCATTGGCCACTGCTCTACTGTTGTCACATTAGAGTATGATAGGCTCATGCATATTTGGAACAACTTCCAATTCCTTCAGAAAATTCATGAAGCCAGACAGCTTCCTTAGCTGATTCACAAGCCGCTACATACTCAGCCTCCATGGTTGAGTCAGCAATACAAGATTGCTTGATACTCCTCCATATGATGGCTCCATTTCCCAAAGTGAACACTGCCCCCGAGGTGGACTTGCGAGAGTCCCTATCTAACTAAAAATCAGAATCAGTATATCCAATAGGAATCAAATCCCTACCAGAGTATACAAGCATATGGTTTCTCGTCCTCCTCAAATATTTGAGTATGTGTTTGACTGCAACCCAATGATCTAATCCTGGGTTTGACTGGTATCTGCTAACCAACCCTACTGCATAGCATATGTCAGGTCTAGTACATAACATTGCATACATCAGGCTACCAACTACCGATGCATAGGGAACTCGTCTCATATCCTTTTCCTCTTGAGGTGTCTTTGGACACTGCTCCTTGGAGAGATAAACTCCATGTCGAGAAGGAAAATTTCCTTTCTTGGAGTTTGGCATCGAAAACCTGACAAGCACCTTGTCAATATACGATGCCTGAGACAATGCCAAAAGTCTATTCTTGCGATCCCGGATAATTTGGATCCCAAGAATATAGTTGGCTTCTCC